ACACCCTTCTAGTTGCTGTATGTGGGACTCGGCCTCAGGATGGACAGAGAAGTGGTGCCTCGATACGCACCCGGGATCCGAACCCGGGCCGCCAGCATCGCAGTGCGCGCACTTAACCACCAAGCCACAGGGCCGGCCCAATATTAGGTATTTTAAAACTATGTAAAATGAATGTAATTTTAAAACACTATCATAGTAAAATGAGTTATATAAAGCAGATAAAAAATAATCATTTATCAAGATGTTCTTAGCTACTCTATTTCTTACACAAGTTTAATAAGTAGTCTGGCTTATTTTTATTAATGATGCTAATAGTGCCAGGCATCACTCTAGTAATTTTATATAAACTATTACTAGTTGATAATAACTATGCAAAGTAGATATTATAAACTCCATTTTACTTAAAAATTATTTTCTACTTTTACTGAGATATAATTGACATATAACATTGTATTAGTTTAAGGCGTACAACATAATTATTTGATATATGTATATATTGTAAAATGATTAACACAAGTTTAGTTAACATCCACCACCCGCCATAGTTAAAAATTTTTTTTTTTCTTGAGAACTGTTAAGATCTACTTTCTTAGTAACTTTCAGATATGCTCTACAGTATTGTTAACTACAGTCACCATGCTGTGCGTGTAAATCCCATCTTATAGATGAGGAAATAGGCTTCACAGAAGTGATAAGATATGCTCACAAACATCTATAATAGTGTAATATGACCCCAAAGCCCATGTTCTTTCTACCACTTTTCTCTGCGATAGATTTTCAACATGGAGTTAAGAGTATCAAATTTTGTACTACCCCAAAGATAAAATACAAATGCTTGGTTATTAAAGAAAGGTGAAGTCTAAAAGGTTTCAGAGAACAGAACATTGTGTACAACTTCTATCCAGTATTAGAGTCTCTTCTCTTGTCATCTCAAATGGACCATCTCAGGAAAACAACTTATTTGATGATGTCGTCAATGAATTACCATCGGTGACTGTTAAGTTCCTCATTTAGAAGCCTCACTCCCAAAAGGCCCTGGAGATCAAGCTAAAGCACTGAATTACACAGGTTTTGTTGTAACCAGATCCTTATGAGGTTTCCAGAAATAAACCATCTAGACCAAATTCCACGCCTTAACAAGACCAAAGAAATTTTTTAAAACTTCTGAGAAGAATAAAATTCTACAATATCACTGAGTATACCTCTTAGTATGCAATCCATAATATACCTACCAATACAATTTTATGGCAATTTGAATTAAAAAACAGAATTCATTATTTATACTTAGGAAAAAAAGAAATTACAAAATGTTGTGGACAACTGGATGAAGCATTTCCTAAATTTACAAAGTCATTTGTTAGTTTTACCTATCAGTGTCCTTTCTAATGAGTATCAGAAATGGCAAAATTGGGGTATAAAAAAGTAGAATGCCAGAAATATTTCCTGGACATATACTATGTGCAAAGTAAATAGACTATATTATATAGAAGAAAGAGCATTTTTTTGGAATCTGATGGACCCGTGAATCTTCGCCTCATCCTTTCCTAACAACTCTGGACAAAAATCATGAATGTCGTAGATAAAAGGGAACCCTCATACACTGCTGGTAGGAATGCAAACTGGTGCAGCCACTATGGAAAACAGTGTGGAGAGTTCTCAAAAAATTAAAAATAGAGATACCATTCAATCCAGCTATCCCACTACTGGGTATTTATCCAAAGAACATGAAATCAACAATACAAAGAGATTTATACACCCCTATGTTCACTGCAGCATTATTCACAATAGACAAGATGTGGAAGCAACTCAAGTCCCTACCAACTGATAGATGGATAAAGAAGATGTGGTGTGTGTGTGTGTGTGTGTGTATATATATATATATATACACACACACATACATACACACACACACACACATATATATACATACACACAATGGAATACTACTCAGCCATAAAAAAAGACAAAATCATCCCATTTGCCACAACATGGATGGGCCTTGAGGGTATTATGTTAAGCAAAATAAGCCAGAGAGAGAAAGACAAATACCATATGATTTCACTCATACGTGGAAGATAAACACAGGGATAAAGAGCATAGATTAGTGGTTACCAGAGGGGAACAGAGTGCAGGGTGGGTGAAAGGGGTAAAGCGGCACATATGTATGGTGACGGGAAAAATAAAACCATGAATGTCATCATTCCCATTTTATAGTTAAGTAGACAAAGGTCCTGAAAGTGTGTCTCTTGGAGTTTGTGAAACCAAGATAATGTATATAAAGCACCTAGCATGGTACGTGGCACAGAGGAAGTGCTTAATAAATAGTAACCATCACCATCATAATCATCATCATCATTATTATCAGCATCATCAAAGCACTAGTTTGTGCTTGATGATACAGAGATGAAAAATTACATGGTCTCTGCTTCAAAGAACTAATAACACAATGGAACAGAAAGACTTTAAAAGTGACTATTCTCCAAATTGCTAACATAATATAAATTTGAACAATCATTTTGGAGGAAGAGTGAGTTGAATCAGAGAAGGCTTCACAGAGGACATGGCATCTGAGCAGGATCATAAAGGATAAATGGGATGTATATAAATAAAAGGTGGGAAAATATAATCCAGACAAAGAGAACAGGAAGAAAAAAAGGCCAAAGATTTCAAAGGACATAGCGTGCTCAGGGAGAGACGAAAGCACAGACGTGTGGCTGGTAAGTTAGAGGAAGAACTAAGGTAGGACAGGTCTCCTCACGTGGATGGCCGAGAGTTTGCACACACGGCTGAAAAGGAGGTGCACCTTCACGCTTTGAAAGCACAGGATTTACAGTTGTCAGACCCAGATCCAGGTCCCAGATTTCCCACTTCTTGACAGTGTTTCATTGACCAAGAAGTCACATGACCGTTCTGAGCCTCAGTTTCCTTATTTGTAAACTGGAGATGAGTAACAAGCCCTTACTCATGGGGTTGTTGAGAATTAAAGAAATACATAAAATAAAAGAATACACTTAAAGCACATAATACATTACTGGCGTACAACTAAGCACTTCAATTAACAGCAATCATTAATATTGAGGACATTTGGTCTTATTTGTATGGAATGGGAATGATGGAGGGTTTCTGAGCAGTGAAACATCATAATCATGTGAGCGATTACCAAAATGTGCAGGCTGGGGCAGGCTGAGGCCTGTTTGGTGAGCAGTGGTCGAATTAAGTATAATTCAGGAGGAAAAGAGTTTAAGGCACATTTTTGGCCTTGAGTCTAAGCCAATTTCACATATTTTCACATAGCCAGCTTCAAATATGAAGCTGATTTTTTGACCCTGTCACCCAAGTCCCAGGTGGGGGATGAGTACGATGAGCTAACCCAGGAAGAAGCTGGAGTCATGAAGACCAACTGGAAGTTATAACAATAACCCAAGACCTGAAAATGGTGAACAAGAATGAAAACAATATTAATAATAATAAAAACTTATGAAAGCTTACTATGCGCCATGAATTATATCACTTCACCATAACTATCTTTTTCTTGTATTCTGTTATTTCCAGTTTGTAGATGAGGAAACAACTACAGAGGGGTTTAATAACTTGTCCAAGCTCACACAGTAGTAGTGGAGTCCACATTTGAACTTGGACTATCTTACTGCCTTGTCAATTACTACACGATGCTACTGAACCAAATGGGGGCATATGCCAGGACACTGTGGCAGTAGATCCAAATTATTCAGATACTGATGTGATATAGAAAGATTATTATTATAATGTTTTCCAAGGCATTAAATTGAGTTAGATTCCTTTGACATTAGAACTTACTGTGCAGTTGATGAAATGTGACATTTTGGAGGAATCTGCTCTAACTCTTGGTTGATAGTCCAAATACATAATAAAATTATGAGAAATTCCTAAAACAGAAACACTCTGTTCTTCTAGAAGCATCATGTTTTAGATGAGCTTCACTCTATATCCATGTGATTATTTTTTTTTCCCTTTTTCTCCCCAAAGCCCCAGTAGATAGTTGTACATCATAGTTGCACATCCCTCTAGTTGCTGTATGTGGGACGCGGCCTCAGCATGGCCTGACAAGTGGTGCAGCGGTGCGCGCCCAGATCTGAACCCGGCCACCAGTAGTGGAGCGCGCGCACTTAACCGCTAAGCCACGGGGCCGGCCCCTCCATATGATTATCGGTGCTCAATAAGACTACAAGAAATGAAAGGCAGCTCTTAGGAATTGCTGTTGAAGACACCAACTAGACACTATCTCCTAAAGTTCTTAGCTGCAAAATAGTTTACATTTTGATTTCAATTTGAGTTTTTAAAATTCGAAGTCACTCTCATGATTCAGCAAATATACATACACACACATACACAGAGATAGAGAGAGGAAAATAGACCACAAGAATTGTGATAAAATGTTAACAATTGGTAAATCAAGGCGAAGAGTACATAGGTCTTATTTTTTCTATCCTTGCAACTTTTCTGTGGGCTTAAAATTTTTCAAGATAAATAGGTGGGTGAAAAACAACCAATTACGGCTTTTACAATGTAAAAAACCAGAATGGGAAGAAGGAAAGTGATTCCATTTTTATAGTATTTTACAAAGGCAAGGAGAAGATTTAGTGAGCTTAGGAATAAAAGGAGAACTTGAATTCAAAACATATTTACTTACTATAAAAGTTATACAAATTATTTTAAAAAGTTATAAAAT